ACACACTCACCACACTCACAGGTGTGTGCCTGTGTGTGTGTGTGTGTGCCTGTGTGTGTGTGTGCCTGTGGTGTGTGTGTGGTCCGGCCTCACGTCTTTCTTTCGGACCTCTGAACACAGCACACAAAACATCATTGTGCTGTGTGAATGGACGTCCAGAGCGGCTCATGAGACGTGTGTGGCTGTGCTGTGAGAGACGGTAACGTGAGCCTGTTATCTGCCGCAGATGAAAGAGCGTGTGATGCTAACTCTATTGTTGTTTTCTGTGTGTGTGCGTGTGTTTCTCATGGTGCGGTGTTACCTAAAAACGTAACGAAATGAATAAAGACTTCAGCCTAGCTTCGTTTTCCCCCGTTTCTAATGTTTTCTTTTTATTCAGGTCAGCTCTTCAGGTAAGCTGGAATGTCACTGTGCCCCGGAGCTTTCTGAAGGCCACAGAGAACCTGTCAGGGATGGTGTTTAATGTGTTAAACCGTGATATACACACTCACACAGCCTGTGTGTGTACATGTGTGCCTCAGGTCTTTTGCTGCTGAATAAAAGAGTGGGGAATCATGGGAATCAAGTTTTTCTTTTCTTTCTCAGATCTTCTCTTTCATTTTTGTTCTCCTGCAAGAAGCTCATCTATTATGAGAGTCTACTGCGAGCGTTATCACAGGGTTTGGTGTTTCGTGTTTGAAACACCAGCTAAAACAAAGCAGCTGGTCTGAAAATCAGCCTGCAGAAAAACAGTTCACAATAAGCTCAAACAAAAGGGGAAGAAACCACAACAAACAGTCCACAGGGGTGTTACAGTGTTATATTGTACATAATCACCACTAAAGGATGTCCTTTGGAGAAACTAAAGCACAGCCATATTGCTTTTATAAAATAGTTGCCACATAATATTTTAAGAATACAAAGCATTTTCATTAAAATATTATGTTTAATCAAATTAATAAAGTACAATTCTTCAACTTGTAGATTTTGTAAAATAAATAAATAAAAACAATTAATTAATTAATAACAACTGAAGTTATATAAATGCAGTGGCATTTAATATTATTCAGGATTAATTGTGTAAGTTCAGTTAATGTTTTGTGTTCATTGAGCATGTTTTTTTTTTTGTATGATTTTTTGATGTTTCTGAATGAAGTTTATTTTATTGATTGATTGATTTTGCTCACCAAAGCTGCATTTATTTGTTTAAAACACAATAAAAATTGAATTACTATAAATTATTATTTCAACTTAAAATAACTGCTTTCTCTGTGAATATACTGTAAACTGTAATTTATTTCTGTGATCAAAGCTGTATTTTCAGCATCATTACGCCAGTCTTCAGTGTCACATGATCTTCAGAAATCATTCTAATATGCTGATTTTCTGCTCAAGAAACATTTCTGATTATTATCAATGTTGAAAATGGTTGTGCTGCTTCATATTTTTGAGGAAACTGTGATCCATTTTAATTTTCAGGATTGTTTGATGAATAGGAAGTTTAAAAGAACAGCATCTATTTGAAATAGAAATCTTTTGTGACATTACAAATGTCTTTACTATCACTTTTAATTAATTTAATGTGTCCTTGCTGAATAAAAAAAAAAAATCTGGATTAAAAAATGATTCATTCAAAAATTCTAAAATCTTGCTGACTTCAAATTTTTGAACTTTTGAAAGATCTCTCTTTTTAAAAATGTTACAGATTCTGCCTGGGGTAAAGTGTGTACAGTATATAAATTGAAGTATATTTTTGCAAGAATATTAATGTACTGTTCCATGTTCTCCTCTCACACAGGTCTTCCAGATCGCTTATGTGATCCTGAAAGCTGCAAACTCCCCTCGGCCCGGAAACTGGATTCTAGAACGTTCTCTGGACGGTGAAACATTCATGCCGTGGCAGTATTACGCGATTACAGACACAGAGTGCATCACACGCTTCAACATCGTCCCCAGAACAGGCCCGCCGTCCTACATGCATGATGAGGAAGTCATCTGTACTTCCTTCTACTCTAAAATCCATCCTCTGGAGAACAGAGAGGTGAGAAACACCTTCACTCACAGGGCAACAAAATTAAGTAGTTCAATGAAAAGGTTTCAATGCCATTTTTAGATGATTATGACATGAATGAAGTCTGTTTTATCAATTCATTAAAAATTTTAAACAAGGTATCATCATTTAGATTCTAGAATGTTCGGAAATGTATTGAAATTATTTTGCTACACTGTACACATATGAGTTTGGAACAACATGAGGATTAGTAAATTATGTCAGAATTGCCATTTTTGGGTGAACTGTCCCTTTAAATGCATTTGAATATGTGGCACAGAGGGTTGAGGAACGGAAAACCTCACAGAGTCTCGCTCGACTGCATCTTAAGTTACCTTGTTAACTGTGATTCTTAATTAGAGAAAACAGACAAGAGAAAAATATATTCACAATCACACACACAAATGGTACACAAACTCCAGTGTCCCTCTCATTCACAGCCCACTCAATAACACACACACTCTCTCATTTACACAGATATCAGGTCACATTTACATACAAACCAAGCATGTGGAATTATGCATGTTTGCATTAATACAGCTGCTAACTTCCCCACACAGTGCGTCTGACAGCTAATAGCAGGCTGACATGAACACCCACACAGGGATGATAAATGAGATGGAAGTTCTCTTACAGCAGCAGGTTTAATGTGTGTGTGTTTGCTGAAAGTCAAATTTACAGCTGTCAGATCATAGGATTATATTGAAGAGCATTGTGTGTGTGTGTGTGTGTGTGTGTGTGTGTGCCATACTAATGAGGGAGGTGGGTGGGGAGATCAAGCCTGGACTCAAATGTCGCTCTATCTCCTTTAAAAACAGACAGCATAAACTCACACAGCACTAATTAGCACACATCATTAACCCAAGAAAAACAGCCCAGTACTGCACACACACGCATGCATCACTTCCTTAAGCTGCACTTGTATTAAAACTGTGATTGAATGTTTCTTATTTGTTTATATACAATTTACCCTCTGGTGTTATTTGATCATTTTAGACTGAATTTAAATTTTTAATCATTTTTATTTTATCAGAATGATACAAAACTTAGTGACTTTTTGGCACTTGCTATATGCACACATGGGGGGAAAAAATCATGGACATGATTAGAAAAAATTTAACATTTGTGATCTTCACTCTCAAAAATACCCAAAATAGAAAATTAATGGGAAATACAAAAAATTCAAAAATACAAAGCATTGTACCTACAAATGAGCAAAGTACCGTATTGGCCCGAATATAAGGCAGTTTGGTCCCATCAGGCTAACGCGACAGTCACGACTCATGCAGCTTTAAGGTTTTCTGCTTCTTTTGTTTTTACTTGCGCTCTTTACAACACGCATTACATTACGTATTTCATGGCACACTCGTTTTATGCGGTTTTGGCGCCACCTATTGTTGTGGGTGTATTATTTACATGTCAAAGTCTAGACCCTGAATATAAGACGACCTCGTTTTTTCAGATGTATTTCCAAGAAAAAAACATCGTCTTATATTCGGGACAATACGGTAGTATTTGGTAATGTCTTTATATATATTCAAATGCAAAACATAATAAAAGTAAGTAATTATGTCTGAAAATATTTTTATAAGCAACTAGGCAATACATAGCCCTGTATACAGGCATCTAGTGGTTAAACCATAGTATTACATATGCTTTTATATATATTTCTACCACCAGATCTGCCTTCCATGCAATGCATTTTAAATACATTTGTTGTATATATAATGTCTTTATATATATATCCAAATGCAAAACATAATAAAAGTAAGTAATTACGTCTGAAAATATATTTATAAGCAACTATGCAATACATAGCCCTGTATACAGGCATTTAGTGGTTAAACCATAGTATTACATATGATTTTATATACAGTATATGTCTACCACCAGATCTGCCTTCCATGCAATGCATTTTAAATACATTTGTTATATTTTTTACTTAACTGTATTATTGTATAACTGTTTTAGTTTATATAGACAAAAATGCAACATAATTTTAAGGTGAATATTGTCTATTGCCATTTAATACCATCAAAATAAAAATATTAAAGAATAAATATTATTGAAACAAAATATAGTACATTCATTTAATTAAAAAATGTTCTGCTTATTGTCCTCCTTATATTTTCGGCCCTTAGAGTGTCACAAGTGTGAGGAAAACCAGAGGGTTAATTGTATTATTTTTGGTTAGCAAGATTATGTTCAAATTTTCAGATAATGCACTACATTTTGAAATATGTATGTACCAGTACTTTAGCAGAACCGCACAAGAAAAAGTGTTGTTGCCCCCCCCCACCCCACAATAAACAGGATTAAGCATGATTGAGTAAATGATTCAATGACTCACTCATAAAGACAGTCATGTGTTGCAGTTCATCACTTCTCATTTTCTTTCAGATTCACACCTCACTAATAAACGGCCGTCCCAGTGCGGATGATCCATCGCCCACATTACTCAACTTCACCTCGGCACGCTATATCCACCTGTGGTTCCAAAGGATCCGCACCCTAAATGCTGACCTCATGACCCTCGCCCTCAATGACCCCCGAGACATTGACCCCATCGTCACCAGACGGGTGATTGCCTCAGGTGGAGCTGGAGACGCTAGAGTGCTAGTGTGGTGCTAGTGTGAGAGGGGGAATGTGTTGTCATCGCTCAGTGCCATTCATACACCATCTGTGTGTGTGTGGATGGTTGGAGCTAACGCTGCCTGCCTCATCCATTACCAGCCTCTCCTCCTCAGACAGATGGGTTTTAATTAAAATCATACAGTAATTAACAAATCAGCCCTCTCTTTCCCTCAAAGACGCCATATCACACGCCTCCACCCGCCCACTTCCTCCTACAAACTCATTAACTCGCTGATTGACCTGTTTCCATCAAAGAGTAGTTGCATTGAAATGCAGGATTACGTTTCTCACGTGCATTGAGCAATTTGGATAAATTAACCCAAAGTATTTAGTTCAAAGAGTCATTTTGCAATCTGAGAGGCTTAAGCCACATTGGTTGCATATGATTACGAGGCTAATTTAAAGGTGATGTGTGTCATTCTCATATTAAAGTGTATTGTTGTGAGTTTGGTAAATTGACTTACCCAGGAAGTTTAATACTGTGGCTTTGTGGCACTTTCAAATTATTGATCTGTTTAAGCATCACAACCAGCTTAACACACGCTGTATGCATTAAAAGTATAGTATAACAGTGTGCTTGTTTATTCAGTGATGCTCAGTTGGTACCTTTAAGGGTGTGTAAGACAGTAGTAATAGAATTATGCTTATTATATTATATGTTTATTGGGGACGCTTGACTGATTGCACAGACACTATTGGAAGAGAGCTGAACTGGATGATGACATCACTGAATCATAAATGAATTGACTTTAACTGAAAAATGTCAAACTTGTAAAATGTTAATGACAGTCTATTGAAGAGACAAAATAATAAACATTAGTAGCATGTAACTACAATTTTGTACTTGCGTTGCATCAAGTTCTAAATTGAAAGTACATCTGGGTACTTTCATGTGTCAAAATCCAGTTGACAGCTGCTGACAACAAGAAAGTTGTTGGTAAAAAGAATAAACATAAAAGGACATAGTAAAAAAGTATTTAATTGCAGTGAGGGGCATAACTTATTGCAATAGTAACTATGGGTGAAAGTGAAATAATTTAACCATTGTCAAGGGCAAAGTGCCCATCTAGGGTGAACACTAATCACCATAATAGTGACAACATACTTCAACAACTTTTGCACACGTACTGTTTGTTGAGTACTGTTTGTCTTACTGGGATCCTACCAGCATCCAAATGACAACATATGCTGGTTCACCAGCACACCAGTGTCCCGTGATGGTGACCAGCAACCAGCGACCGAAGCTGGTACCACTGTGCAAATCATACCTTATGCTGGTGACCAGCTGGGTTTTTCAGCAAGGTAACAGTTCACATCTAGATAAATTCCTTATTTTGATTTATATATTGAAAAATATTTTGGCAGCTTCAGGGGGAAAAGTGGTTCACAAACTCCTACTTCCGTTGTGTGAGGGGGTATGTGAATTTGCAGCTGAAAAGCAGAGATGTTCATAGAGTTTAACTTATAGATACTTTGCTTCCAAGATTCCCAGTGCTTCATCAGAACCTCTCACTCCAGACCACAAAAGGTCTGCCAAGTGAAGAAGAAGAAGAAAAAAAAAAGTAAACCATCAGCAAACATGCTTCTGTAAATATTTAAAATAATAATAATAAACCTTGATCTCTCACTTCGGAGGGTAAAGCGTAGGAAATAGACAACAGTTAGTTTTGCTCCTTGTTTCTTGTCTAGCGCATGCAATAATTAACTTATGTATTACAGTAGAGTTTGAGGTTAATGTGATTGTATTGCTTTTGTTTTTCAGTATTACTACTCCATTAAGGATATATCAGTAGGAGGAATGTGCATCTGTTATGGTCACGCTAAGGCCTGCCCTCTCAACCCATACAACAAGGTTTGTCATCTGAAGCTAAAGAATCTTTATCCTTAAATTATTTCATATGTGCACTGTAATTAGGGTTAATACTTGTAGCGAATCAGCTCAATGTATCTGGTGTCAGGGTTGCCATGGTAACCAGGGTCCTGGGCCTTGTTCACAGACAACTTGGCACCCAGTATGTTTATTGGGTGAGGGGTCTGTGAACGTTTGTTAATCTAATGAATAATTGATTTGTTAAATCAAATGAAAAATGGTGTGTCTGATTGGTCCAGACGCTACATACTTGAGCTTTATCATTAAGTTGTTACTTAGAGACTAATCACTTTTGGCCTTTATAAAGAATGCACTCAGAGCAGTTGTAAAAAAATCAATAATTAAATAGTTGCATTGTGTCTTATATGATCAAAATGCTGTATTTTGTGGTACATATTTTGTGTCTGTGTAATAGTCACTACCACTATCATCAATACATCCAAAGAGGTTTTGTTTTTTTCTTTACGACACCACAAAATGTCTAGCACATTTTCAGATAACTTTATGAAAATAATTTAAAGACATCTACAGGGCAAATACTTGGATAAAAATACACAATTTGACACAATTTCAATAGATGAATAGGTTTCATTTGAACAATCCTTTTAAATTTTGAGCACAGACAAGCCATGAACATATCAATATACAAAGGTTGCAGAAACTTGGAGGTTTCTTGTCAAAAATAGAAAATTAAAGGATTGAAGAAGGAGATGGATAAAGAAAAATAGTTAAAGAACTGGAATGAATGCATTTGATTTATTTATTTAAATAGGATTTAATATGACTCTCCTAACCTCAGCCTATAAAAACATTCGTCAAAATCACAAGTTTTACCATTTTCTAGTTTAGGTCTGACGATAAGTCAATGCACTGAAAGGCTGTAAGGAAAGTGTAACCAAATTCATTAAATTCATTCACAATATGTACACATTCATTCTTAATCTTATAGCTAATATGCTGAAAATAAGTTGCTTGCATTTCTGTAAATGACTGTTGGTTCATTAACATTTCTTTCGTAACAGTTTTTAAAAAAGTTAAATATTAAATGTTAAGCTGCTTACTTGCTCTTTCATCTCACTTTTTGGTGATTAAAAAGGAAGTTTCATGTTGAAATTCATACTCCACTTAAGTGCCCATTAATGGTAGCACCCGCCTTTTTTGATTTGATTGTCCATCTCAGTCATTTTGACATTGATAAGTGCAGTTAGACCACTGATCTGCTCAGTACCAAAATACAGCTATTATTAGGCAATTTTTTTCACCATTTTTATTATATACATTGGAGTAAGCCTTAGTGGTGCTTACAGCACTTATTCTGCTCTGCATTGTGTTTGCCATCTCAGATTGAGTTTTAATTGGGAAGGCATTCTCAAAACATGTCTGAACGACACACAGTTGGTTTGATTGACTGTTTGGTTTTGACATCAGAAATTCAGCTGTGAGTGTGAACACAACACTTGTGGCGAGAGCTGTGACCGCTGTTGCCCTGGTTACAACCAGAAACCCTGGATGGCGGAAACCTTCCTCACACGCCACGTCTGTGAAAGTAAGAGGTCTCAACAATGCCCCACAGAGCTGAGCATGCTGCTTTACTGACCAATTTAGTCCTATTTAGGTGTGGTCTATGAACATCAGTTCATGTTATATGACATCTGAGTGACTATATATATATATATCATAGTCACACTATGTAACAGTTAATACATCTTAATATGAATTCCGCAACAGTTAGTTTTGGGCCTTTCAGTCTGATTGGTTAATTAGCATTTCATTTTCATAGCATAGCAATTAACAATACTGGGACTCTCCACTGTTTGTAAATTCTTCATCAAATGTAGAACCTATACAGACAATATGCAATTTCAGATCAGTCATTGAATTATTCACTCAACCAATTTCTTAAAAAAACATTCATTTTCCAGGAATGAATCAGATGGCTGTCTTAATGAGTGAATCACTGAATCGTTTGTTAAATGAGTTGTTCAAAAATACACAATCGTTCAGGAACAAAATTCCCCTGTGTCTTTATGTGGAACTGTTTTTATTGGTGAAGCAAAAACACACAAAATAACTGGCAATACTGAGTCTAACATTTAAGTTACGCAATATTAACAAGATTATTTAACTACTGTATTAAAGAAATATCACTCAATCTAGTCGCCTTCTTGTTACTCCATTTTTACTTCTTGTTACACCTTGTTACTCCATTCTGGAGCGACCCAAGCTGCGGTGGCTAGCCTTAATGGGACATTCTTGAATTAGTAACTGTAACAATCAGTCCACTGAAGGCGAGCCTGATGAACACAAATGCAGTTTATTTACAACGAAGACATGAAACATAATCCAAATCCAGGCTTGGCTTGACTTGACAATGGCTTGACTTGAAACAGACTTGACTTAACATGAACAGACTTGACTTGGAACAGACTTGACTTGAAACAGACTTGACTTGAAACAGACTTGACTTGACATGAACAGACTTGACTTGAAACAGACTTGACTTGACATGGACAGACTTGACTTGAAACAGACTTGACTTGACATGAACAGACTTGACTTGAAACAGACTTGACTTGACTTGAAACAGACTTGACTTGAAACAGACTTGACTTGACATGAACATAATTGACTTGAAACAGACTTGACTTGACATGAACAGACTTGACTTGAAACAGACTTGGCATGAACAGAAACAATAACTCACCAACAGAGGTTACAGGGACAATACTCGACAAGAGACAATAGCAATATGAGGGCTATAAATACCAAACAATAAGGGTCACATGACACAAACCAACCAATGGGAAACAAGGCACATGACTAAACAACCAATCAGAACATGACACGCACACTAGGCAGGAATACATAAAGATCAAGGCAATCACATGACTAGACAGGAACTATGTCTATGACAAAATAAGAGACATGAAAACAATGAACATGAAACAAAACCCCAAAACAGACATGACAGTAACAGAGATTTAGACATCTCTTTTTGGACTAGCAATGGAAGATCCTGAATTCATTGTGCTGTTGTTCGTAGTATCAGCACGCCTGTTATTACCTGTGTCTGAATCATAGCTGTGCCAGTATTCAGATCAACTCTTCCTCATGTAGTATTGTCATATTATCAGTGGCATGTGTCAGGAGCTGCTTGTAAAGCTGCACTGCTTCTCTTATTGTTGTATAATCATGTGATGTCTTTATTTGCCAGAGTGCAACTGTCACGACAAATCAGAGGAATGCTATTACAACCAGACTGTGGCTGATGCTAAGCTGAGTTTGAATATGCATGGTGAATATGAGGGAGGCGGAGTCTGCCTTGGTTGCTCTGAAAACACAGGAGGAAATAACTGTCAATCATGTGTAGATGGCTACTACAGACCAAGTGAGGTGAGTGTCTATATATATATATATATATATGGGTCAATGGCCATGGGTCAACGTTATTTTTAAGGCAGGGCTCAGTGAAGGGAGAATCAAATGGTTTTTGTTGTGTAATTGAGCATTATGTGAATATTTTCCCAGGTAAGTCCACACGAGCCCTGGCCCTGCAGACCCTGCTCATGTGACCTGAGAGGTTCACTGCACTCTTCATGTGTCCCAGACGAGAGTCAGGCCACCGCAGGTACAACACAACACAAGATCTGGCAGTAGCCCTGTTTACACCTAATAAGTGTTTTTGGTGATTGGATCACTGAAATAGCATGTGGAGGTCGTTAGAAGCACATGACCACATTGCACTGTAGTGTAAACACTCATCCTTTCTGAATGCATCAGATGGAAGATGGAATAAAATGTGCCAGTGGCTTGGTTAGTAATGATAGTGAGATGGTTTTGTTGAAAAATCTGTTATAGAATTCAAATATACTTGCAAAAATATACCTACCATTTAAAGAAAACGCTTTAAGAAAAAAGAAAGTAAGGGAAGAAAGTAAGGAGTGACATATTTTCCTGCAGCCTTGATAGTTGGACCTTGAAAAATGTTGAAAATTGTTTCACTGCAAATATTCTGAATATTTTCTGGGTGTCATTAAAAATATGTTAATAACAGTGAGCAAAATAAGTTTCTAGGATGGTATTCATTGTAAATTTGTTGTTAATGTATAATTTATACATACTATATTATTTTTATTCAAAATGTAAATCGTTGAGTTTCACACAGATGTGGCAAAGCAAGTTATCACTGGACCACTTTTAGTTTGTACAAGTCATATTTCCATTCATGTATGTTATAGATGATCTTACCATTTTAGAAGATAAAGTAGCAGACCTCCTAAAATATGATTAGGTGAATTGGTTTTACCTCACTTTCATTTACCTTTGCCAAATGGAAAAATTCTTTAAAAAATTATCACAACTTACCCCACTCTCCTGTCACTCTCTGTTTTTCATTGTAAATTTGTTGTTAATGTATAATTTATACATACTATATTATTTTTATTCAAAATGTAAATCGTTGAGTTTCACACAGATGTGGCAAAGCAAGTTATCACTGGACCACTTTTAGTTTGTACAAGTCATATTTCCATTCATGTATGTTATAGATGATCTTACCATTTTAGAAGATAAAGTAGCAGACCTCCTAAAATATGATTAGGTGAATTGGTTTTACCTCACTTTCATTTACCTTTGCCAAATGGAAAAATTCTTTAAAAAATTATCACAACTTACCCCACTCTCCTGTCACTCTCTGGTTTTTTTTTTTTCGCTTTTTGAGGATGTTTTATGGGACTAATTTGTGTGCATTGCACAATTTATAAATAGGCATTTGAAACTGCACTGGTTTCCACAGGGTGTTTTTTTTAGGTAATTCTGGTAAAAATGTATTAGTGTTTTTAAAGCATGTTTTATTTTGCATTGATAGTATTGACATTTGTTTTTGTGTGTTTGAGTGAAAGTGTTCTGTGTGTGTGTTGAGCAGGAGCTCAGGCTGTAATGGTGTGTGTTCTTGTCGCTGCAGGTTTGGCAGTGGGCTCGTGCATCTTTAAGCAGGGATACGCAGGTGAGAAGTGTGACAGGTGTGCGTTTGGATACACAGGATTCCCTCTGTGTGAGCGATGCAACTGCAGCAGTGAAGGCAGCATTAACCAGGATCCCTGCCAGCCGCCCTGTGTGTGTAAGGTACGACATGTGTTACCACATTAACACTGGCCTCCCACTGCTTATACAGCCATGATCACTGCACTCACTGCTACGACAATACCATCACAACAAAATATTACTATACTTTGTCTAATTTGATTATTTGATGTTTACTTGGAATAGATACTTGTGCACCTATTATATTATTATTATTATCTTTTTTACCTTTGTGCCTGTGGCAGCCCATGTGGTCAAAAAGTTAAAAATTGCACTTATGTAAAACATTATCTCATAACTTTTGCATCATGTGTTCTAGAAATGTGCTCTCCCCCCCCCCTCCCCTTTGGTCATTTTAAAGAAGCATTGATCCCTGCCAGCCGCTCTGCGTGTGTAAGGTACGACACATGTTACCACACTAACACTGGCCTGCCTCTGCTTATAAAGCCATGATCACTGCACTCACTGCTACAGCAGTACTACCACATAGGCATGGACTGTATAACCAAAATATTACTATACTTTGTCTAATGTGATTATTTGATGTTAACTTGGAATAGATGCTTGTGCACTTATTATATTATTAGTCAGTGGCAGTCCATGTGGTCAAAAATTCAAAATTGCACTTATGAAAAATGTTATCTCATAACTTTTGCATCATGTGTTCTAGAAATGTGCTCTTCCCCCCCCCCACCTTTGGTCATTTTAAAGAAACATTTCTTACAGTACTTCTCTTACAAAATTTGCCTCACAAAATGTATTGATTAGATTTTAGATTTTCTGAGAAATGGCTTCATGGAGGTCAGTGCGATTCCTCGGGTGTGTAGGTTGGGGTCATGATGTTTAGATATTTATGGATGCCAATCTGCTGTTCACAGGATGCTTTCAGAGTTTATCCCGCATCGGCCAATTACAGAGAGTGGTTTCTAGAGCAACCGTGCAGGATGCACTTTGACACTGGTTAGGTTAATTATTGAGATGCAGAAGATCACGCATACACAGTTTGTGGGAAGTACAGAGAACCTGCAGCATTAATGATTTAACAAGCAACTCGTCCTAAAGTCCAGCACAGAGTTAACTACACTCGCTGATCAATTACCTCAGTGACGAGGATTTTCATTTAGCTGACAAACGGCAGATATTTGATTCTCGTGAACAGCTGCATTGAGCAGTCTGATATTTGTGTATAACAACCAATTTAATACACATGGTAAGCATGAAACCTTTGCTTGATGGCCAAAAGCTCATTAAAACAAATACTCTGAAGAGCAATGTTAAGAAGCACAATGGAGAACTTCAAACAGAGGAAGACAAGTTACACTGAAGCTAAATATTTACCTTGACATTCATTCATTGGATTGCACTTTAATAATATAGAAATGAGTACTGTAATGCAGTTGCAGTGTTTGTCTTGTTGCTTAGCTGGTACTGTTGGGGTGACAGGACTGCTTTCTGTCCTCTTACATCCTCTGGCCCGGTGTCCTCCGGAGCATTTGCCAGTGCTGAGCTACAAAACAAATGCAAGAAATCAGACCTGGCCTACGATCATTATGGTCAAAGCACAGTAAATGGTCAAGCTGATACTCCCAACTGGAGTGAAGGGATTTCAAATTGTTCATGAAAGCCAGAGCGGTAAGAAAATGCAGGTCAACTAGCAGGTTTTTGAACAACAGATGGTCCATGGACATAATGCAGTCAGTGTTCAGGACCCAAATATTGAGTACTTATTGTGCAAATAGAGGGTATGCATGTGACGTCACCGTCAGCTGGAGTGACTGCGGTTCTGCCCACTGAGTGGCAAAAAGACTGAATGGCAGCATCGGTTTTCAGTGTGAATGCTGTGTCAGAACACACAAAACACATCTAAAACGGGAAAGAGCTTTGCGATTGACTGTACAAATAGATTTGACAAGAAATCGGAGGTATATTTTTACAGACTGCCGAAAGCTACAGAAAAGAGAAGCAAAATATCCTGCAATTCAAAGAAACAAATGGACTCCAGGCAGCGAAACAAGCATCTGCATTTATCATTTTATGTTAATATGCTGAATTTTGCGGTAAAATCATATCTTATGTATTGTATTGTTATATATATATATATATATATCGTATTGACAACTCATCAATTAAATATTCACCATCTTATATTCTGCATAACTGGATGTTTTTAAATAAACACTGACAAAAACTATATAAGTTTTTGGGCTGGACGATATGATGATATATATAACATTGATACAAGTGATCAACCGGATTTAGAACAACCTACTTTGTATTTACAAAATGCGTTCACAGGCAAATTTGCTTTATGTATTTCTCGGCGTCAAAATCAGGCACATATAAATGTCAGGAAACACGATTCCTGGCTGCATGTCAATATCCATGGACCACTGGATCTTTGGTAAGTTGTAAGGAACACTATATTGATTCCAACAACCTTTAGTTTAAACTGATTATCATTGGTTTTACTCGCGTTTTCGCAGCTTCCCTATTAAATCCAATCATGCGGCAGCTCTTTTGCCACTCAGTATGGCTGAGGGGGTGTGTTCAGGCGGGAAAGTGACGTCAATGCATACCCTCTATACCGCCATAGTACCCTTTGTGAGAGCATTCACACAGTTTTTTGCTGTATATAGACTCATTAACAAACCTAACATGTCTAGCAACCTATTAGTCATTTGGATGGCTTCACGGTTTCTCACATTTAGTGATCACTAAGTCTTTAAAGAGTTAGTTCACCCAAAAATGAAAATTAACCCATAAATTACTCACCCTCAAGGCATCCTAGGTGTATATGACTTTCTTCTTTCAGACGAATCCAGTCGGAGTTATATTAAAAATTGTCTTTGATCTTCCAAGCTGTTTAATGGCACTCAGCGGGTGTTGCATGCATCAGTCCAAAAGAAGTGAAATAAAGCACATCCATCCATAATAATAAGTGTCTCACTCGGTTTCGAGGGGTGAACAAAGGCCTACAGTTGTACACAGAAGCAGCTCCGGGAGGATGACGTAGGACGTCGGCATTGCGCATGCACCGCTCAGAAGTGACGCACGCGGAAGCACAGCGGAGAGATCAAAACAAAACAACGGTCACTAATTAGAAGCACAAAACGAGGATTTGTAAAGAAGAATGTCGGAGGATTTCGATATAAGCCAAGAGGAGACTGGTTTTCCTTTGCTAAAGCGAGGAAACTTTTCTTCCTTTGCTCCTGTAAACAAACATTTTTTTTTTTTTTTCTCAGAAAGACGTATTGCCAGCTGAATTATTGTTATGTTGTTTAGTACAGTCCATTAAACACTTCAGTCCCTCACAGCCTCGTTTTCATTAGTCAAAAATTTAATCTGGCACAAAGGTCTGTGGCAGCATTAGCTTTCTACAGACTGCTCATCCTGAATAAGACAACCAATTAAGCAAGAAGGCACTGAATCAGAAAGGCCACCGTTCAGGTTGTGAGGAATCTCACACAAGCTTGTGATGAAATATCCTCAATAAATGGAAATGAAAACAGTCTTTTACATGCTCCAGAAGAATTTCTTCATGATATTCTAAGATGAACACAGAAAACTGTCAGCTTTGTTATCTCTGGCCGGTTCAGGTGTGCCATATTCATATGTACTAACTAATTGTTCAGTGGATGCTGTCATGACCAGGACTGAGAGGAAATGGTTGGAAAGGGACTTTTTGCAAAACGGCACAGAGGAGACCGGTTAGAACATGTACCATCTTATGTGATGATGATACTTAAATACTGACAGATGACATCAGCTTGCATGAACAATGCAGGTCCAAAAAGGACAATGTGCTTCAACAAAAAGCACAATGAAGGATCTAAAGGATTTGTTCCAGTAAGAAGAGGCCTTTAGATCTGGTCTTAGTTTAACTTTGAGAGGTGAGATAATCTGATCCAGGATCAATGAAGTCTGGAGATCAATTGCTGTTTACATCAGTCTTGTAAGCTGTTGCAGGGGAGCTAGATGAATATATATCTGAATCACAAGAAACAGACCCTGAAGTTTGGCTGAAAGAGCTTCTGCAGAAAGTCTGCTTTACACATGAGACCTCAGGAACAAGCTGGCGGAGATCCACAATGTCTGGAGGCCTGACAACGTTAGCCACAGGGTGCTGGAGATGTGCACCACACAGCAAGTAAATGTCCTTAATCCCTGAAACACAACACAGTGCAATGCATAATTTCACAGGTAAAACACCTGTGAAAATGCAATACAGAAAATACCTTCATATTAGCACGGTACATTAGGTCCCATATATTAGGTCTGCTGGAGGAGGGCGTCAGTGGTTGCTTTTCCAAAGTCCAGTCCTTCAGTGGGAAAACACTGCTGTTGTATAAACCCGGGAGTCCACATGAACAGTAAATCAGACACAAACCACCAGAACAGCCTTTTCTTCCTGTGAAGACAGCAGGTGGGAATCCTGATTGATTTCAATCCCATCGAGGGATTTTAAAATTTTCCAGCAGTAGAGAGGGGAGTGAGTCTTTTGCAATAAAACATGCAACAGACGCAGTGATTCAGCCTTTCCAAAGTAGGTGGAAGTTTGCATGAGGGATCTGACAACCAGACAGTAAATTCAAAGAAACACTGTAAAATCCAATAGTTTACCTTACTTAGATTTTCATTAATTGTAACAATAACCATTTTATTTGCTCTTTTTGTTGTGCTACTACTGACACAATACTGCAAATAAAATTGTCAAATAAAATCAACAACTGTCAAACAAAGCAACTGTATAATTTATTCATACTGCAATTCAGAGTTATTTGATTTCAAAGGAAGAAAAGTAATAAATAGGTTGCTTTTAGAAAGTGACTTATTTTCTAATTAAAGGATTAGTGCGTTTATTGTGTGTGTTTATTAATGAACTTTATCAAGTTTCTATTTCCATAAATACCCTGAGATGCTTTAATTTGGGTTTATATAATCCTTAAATAGTGTGTGGTAATATGTTAAAGTCACACACAGACTTAAACATTCAGCACGTGAACCACAACAATGGTAACAATTCAATTTAATTTATTTTCATTAATTGTAACAACCATTTTATTTGTGCTTTTTGTTGTGCTACTACTGACACAAGACTGCAAATAAAATTGTCAAATAAAATCAACAACTGTAAAACAAAGCAACTGTATAATTTATTCATACTGCAATGCACTCTGGGAGTCAGTGAGTAGCTATATTAAGTCATGAGTAAACCTAAATGAAAGGATCAAGTACCCCCTACAGTTCTTTTTTAGTTACTAGAACTCTCGTGTAAGTAAGCTATACTAACTAAGCATCTGTCAGTACAACATACTATTCCTCTTTCACTTTACTTAGTTTTTTCAAGGCAATCGGTTTGCATGCTTTTTTTAAGTAAGCCCAACTAATTAGATTTTACAGTGAAGCAACAACAGCCATAGATTTTCTATTTCTGGGTCAAAACACACAATATAAAGTTAAAGTGTTTCTCTGGCACCTCCAAATTCAGTGTAAGAGTGCAACGCTACATTTGAAAGCTGCAGTACAGTTAGCAGCTCTGATCTGATCTCTCAGTATCAGACGCACATCTGATGTCGCCTCTGTTCTGTGTAAATGAAATACTGCTTGAGAGCTGCTTTACACTTTGATGTCATCCTGACAACTAACTTGCGTCTTTTTTTCCTCGGCTGTCGAATCGTTGCAGTCTGGATCTGTTTTCCCATCCTAAAAAAAAAAGATTAAAGTCTTTCAATGCACAAAACAAACTGAGAAAATAGAAAAAAATGAGCCACTTCAGTTTTAATGCAGGACTACAGATGATCGAGAAGGGTTTAACAGGATTTCTCTCAGCGCTCCGGATGGATGGATGAACAGATGAAGAGTGAGCGGAGGGTGAAGCGTGTTTGGCGTTGCCCAGATGAAGAGGCTGTGATGGTCAGATTATAGAGGCAAACGCTCAGCTCTGTTCAGTAATGGCTGGGCTCAGGCAGAGCGCCAGTGTAAATGGGACATTAAAAACATCAGTAAATGACACCCACAGACGGGATGGACTCGCTCCAGGTGCTGCAGTCTGATGCCAAACTTGCCGATAGCTGTAATATACAGAAATAAATGAAAGTGTCAGAAACACAGTCTGGTGACTGGAACGGAAAAGTTCATCTGAGAGAGTTCCTCATACTGTAGTTAGTACTGGATTCACACAGCAGGGTCGATTGATGATCAACATTTATGAAATGACTCCTTGAAGATCATGAGTGTGAATCTGAATTGAGCTGGGCACAACACTCAGGAGGTTGAATTCACTTTAAAATAACACCGAGTTACAATTCAGAGCAATTTCACTAGTTCATCACAAGTTTTGTGATAAATTGCGTAACATATTTTCCATATTGGAATAAATAAACACAATTACACAATTAAGTGTCATTGTGTGTACCCTCTTATGGATTTAAGATAATAAACAGGTACGATTTAAAATGCTTTCTTCAGTAAGATCAGTTTTTTTTTTTTATATATTAATATTTTTATTCAGAAAGGATGCATTAAATTGATCAAAAGTGACAGTAAATGCATTTATAATGTTACAAAATATTTTTATTTCGTTTTGAACTTTATATTCATCTGTGAATCCTGAAAAATAAAATGTATCACGGTTTCCATAAAACTACTGGGCAGCACAATCGTTTTCAACACTGATAATAATCAGAAATGTTTCTTGAGCAGCAAATCAGCATATTAGAATTATTTCTGAAGACCATGTGGCACTGAAGACTGGAGTAATGATGCTGAAAATTCAGCTGCGCATCACAGAAATACATTAAATCAAATAAATGCAGCCCTGGTGAGCAGAAGAGACTTCATTTAAAAAATCTCACTGATGTATGTATAGGCAAACTTATTTCTAGTTACAGCAGTTCTTCAGTAGTAATTCTGAATGGTGCACAATCCCAGTCACACATACAGATGTGAAGAGGTCCTGCAGCTACTGAAATAAATTAAATGAAAGAATAATGACTTTTCCTTTACTGTAGAGGTTTGTGCACCTGTGTGTGTGTGTTTAAGTAACACACTTCCCATGGGTTAGTGCTGCTTTTCCGTGGATGCGAGAAGTGCTACTGTTCTGGTCTAGCCAGCCTGTGTGCTGAATCCCACTGGGACTACAGTAATGTAGGAGACAAGCCGTTTCATTACCTGTGTGTGTGTGTGTGAGAGAGAGAGAGGGGTCTCGTTTCTCATTAGTTACACTATCCTAAATCTTTCCTTAGCTAGTGGGATTCAGTCTTATTAAGCAGTAATGGCTGTTCTTACACACACATGCACACATGGACGATTCACATGGATATTTTCAAGTTTAATGAGTGAACAAAAGTTGCTGGTCATCATGTTTAGAAGTGAACTGTCATGAGCACAGTCTTTACACATACACACAAAGGGGACAGAAGTTAGGAAGGGTGAAAGGTTAATAGTGTATGGGGCCTTGGCATTTTTTTGCATCAATTTGTGTGTGTGTGTGTCTGTGTGTGAGAGAGAGAGAGATGCTACCAGCATCTGTTTGTACAATTAAACTGACCTTGAGTTGTCTTTTCAGAGCTCCGCAAGCTTTAATTACGTCCGTGTGTGTGTTTGTCAGTACGTTGTTCATGCATGTGTGAAAGATCGTTGGTCTTTTCAAGTGTGTGTGTGTGTGAGTGTGTGTACAGGTATACATGGTTTATGAGGACACAAATGTGTATAATGACATGGGTACTACAACGTAAACATGGTTTATGAGGACACCTCCTGTGTCCCCGTAAAACAAAAGGCTTAAAAAACATACAAAATGGTGTTTTATGAAATTCAAAAATTGCCAGCAGTTTCCTGTAAGAGGTAGGTTTTGGTGTAGGGTTGGTGTAGGGCAATAGAAAATACAGTTTGTACAGTATAAAAACCATTACGCCTATGGAGAGTCCCCGTAAACCACAAATACAAGTATGTGTGTGTGTGTGTGTGTGTGTTTGTTAGTACGTTGCTCATGCATGTGTGAAAGTGTTGGTCTTTTCAAGTGTGTGTGTATTCTGTGGCTTTGATGTACAGGCAGATCTTAATGACTTTAAATGTTCTTATTAAGTGGTCAAACATTGATGAAACTGTCTAACACACAGTCTTACTTATTGTTAGATTGTATCTAAATGAGATAAAAAACATAATGCTAAACTACACTGGAAAAGGCCTGACATTTGGTGCGATACTGATAGTATTGCACATAATTTTACTCATTTCTACCAGTTTTGCAATTATAATACCGGAAATTCCTGTAAATAGTTATTCAATATAACAGGTTGAATGAGTAAATGAATGCACACAGATGAACAGATCAGATCAATCTTTCTGTCAGACTGTACGTTAACTAACAACGCCAGTGAATCCAGTTATACTCAGTAAAAGGGCTGATAGCACAAAAAATGTATAGTGTGATTGCTGTTTGTTGTTGTTTATTTAGATTCATTTTTATTTTAAGTTAAAATAAATAAATTAAATTCAAAAAGGCACTGCCTGACACTAAAGAAAACATCCCCGAAACACCATCTACAGTAGTATCCGAGTTTTAAGTATATGTTAAAAACAACAACATGAATATAATTTAGCACATACATTTATTCATTTAATAGTTGAAAAGGAATGCAATATATTTTTTTTTAAATAAGTCTAAAATATGGCTCACTTCATTCCATGCTCAGATAAAAAAACACATTTATTTACATTTTTTCAGTGTATTTACATTTTTAAGATAAAAAAAATACTTATTTTTAGAGAAAATTTTTATTTTATTTTTATTTCCCCTTTTCTAAGTGCAAATCTAACAAAAATAAAGTTAATGCAGAGAACAGTGCTTCGCAGGAAGTCAGAGGCTACTGTCAGATATTTGGCTACCAACACTCTTTCGTTCATACCTTCCTTTGTGTTCAACAGGAGGAAGAAACACTTACAATACAGGTTTGAAAACAAGTGTAGGGTGAGAGAATGATGACAGAATTTTATTTCTTGGGTGAACTATCCCTTTAATAACGTTCTCTTTAAAATGAGATCACACTGTGCTAATAAGATTTGAAATAAAATGACAATGACGTGAAATCAATAACTGCTGAATGTATTCAGAAACAGATGCAGATCTTTTATTTGTATATATTTTTAGTCTTACAGTACATTTAAATAGTCAAAAGTAAAAATAGACTATGTCATCTGTCAAGCGTACCTGAGAACAGTATAAATAAACAAAAATAGTGACACTTCAGAAAAGAAACACAAAGGCATCAGTCTCCCTGTTTCATAAGAACATTACATAAATACATGCCCTTTTACAAGAGGAGTACCTCTGATCCATACATAATCTGAAAGTTCCTCTAAACTGCCTCTTCAATCATAGACTACATCACAGACAGATCAAATTGAACAAAATGTGTGTACATTATCATCCAGTGTGACAAAAGTGTAGCCTTTATTTCTTTAAAAAAATGCACGTATAATAATTTATGAATTAGATGAATGCTGTTTAAAATAGTTTTAGATAAGTTACAACACACTCACAGCATTTCCATCAATAGTGTAATAGAACAGAAGAGACTTCATTTACCTAAAATATACATAATACTGTATATATAAATTGTGTGCTTTACAGGTTAAATCAGTATATGAATCAATACAATATACCTCTTCAATATTCCTGATATTAAATCAATACATGCTGACACCAACTATAGATTTTTTTAATTATTATGAAATAATTATTGACAGTGTTGTTGCACACAATGGACTCTTTAATAGACCATATAATGAACTGTTTCTTCTCCCACAAACAGTGACAAAACTTCAGTTTTGAGGTCATTTGACTGAACATGCAATAATATTTAGAATGTTTCACATTAGAGAAAGGATACAGGCTAAAAAAAAACCCAGATGATCATTTACATTTAGTCATTTAGCAGACACTTTTATTCAAAGGGACTTACAAATGATGACAATAGAAGCAATCACAATAAAAGAACACTGAAACACTGCTAGGCAGAACTCCAATAAATCATGATGAATAAATTTGTTCTGACTGCTCCAATCACAATGGAGATTGACTGATTATGAGGTTTATAATGCCAAATGTGATTATAATGCTAAAAGAGAGCTGCTGAATTGATAATATGCACTTAAATGTTACTTAAACATATCTTTTGTTTTTTGCATTTGATGACCATTTGTACCTGTAGCACTATTGCCTGCCCTACAGAACGGTCTCAGAGATCTGAATGTTCTGGTGTGTTTGTTTGCAGGTGACGGATATGTCTGGATGGTATCTGACAGGAGCGGATGGGGAGGGGCTTGTGTGGGCGGTGCCCAGCAGAGAGACGGCCCACCAGCTCACCGTCAGCCAATCAGATGCGCAGACTCACCTGACGGCACCGTACTACTGGAGCGCCCCGTCTGCTTACCTGCGCAAGAAAATGAGTGCGTGTGTGTGTGTGTGTGTGTGTGTGTGTGTGTGTGAGTGAGTGTGTGTGTGTGTGTGTGTGTGTGTTAATCTAAGCCGGCACACTGTGCTGATGTATAATGTGCTGTAATGATGCCGTCACATGACCACAATACAGACATCATTTATCATCATTATGTTACAGGCTCATTTAGCCTTTCATTTGCCCTTGATTTAACTTTAGTGTCTGCAGGGGGAGAGACACAGCCGGGGACTTTAAACACAAGCATAATGGGAGTATGAAAAATTAAATCAGAACCGAATTGTCTGAGAATCACCATTACATATCAGAATGTGTAAATAAGTGGCCGTTTACACTGAAAGTGTTATATAATAATATATAAGCGCAGATGGATGTGCTGAGGCCTTTAAAAGAACATCTGAAGATGCATCTCTTCCCTAAGAGCTCAACTAATCCACAGTCATAACATAACATGACATTTTTATAACTCTTACTTATATAACTTGTGTACTAATCTTGTTTATACTCGATATGCATGTTTACTCAAGACTCAATCTTTGATTGAAGATTTTTAATGAAACTGTTCATCAGCTATTCATCATATAAAGTTATTGTGTCTCTTCACATGACTTGGACTAACCCACTCAATTCATATGGATTTGTTTCATGATGCATTTATGACCTTTTTGAATCTTTTACGTTTTGGTTACGTCGTGGATTTCAATGCAGGGACAGATACCTCTCAGGTTCTGTTAAAATATCTTAATTCATGTTTTAAATATTAACTAAAGGAATAACATTCACATTAAGATTTGTAATGTACATTAAGAAAGGGCTGTAAATGGGGGTCGACACCAATTCATATGCTCCTTTCCACACATTCAGCTGTGAACGAGCATTAGAAGAATGAACAAACCCTGAACACACACACACACGCTCATGAATATGCATGTGATTGTACTATGTATTCAGATGTGTGATGTGGGAATAAACCCGAGCTGTTAAAGTGGTCAGCATGTGCCGCCGATGTGCTTTGACCTCTGAACTCTCTCCACTGCTAATGATGCCATTACTCTCAGTTTAAAGACACTGTCAGCATTCATCTAAAAGGCTTTTCATATCCACGTAGATACGTTTAATTGACTTTTACCATTTTAAATGAAGGATACATCCTCATTGAATGCACTGACCAGTTACTTACATAAAAAAAAATTGTTTCAGGGTGAGTCTCCTGATGCCTCAGGTCAACAATTACAGTTTTCATAAAGAAATGAAAGCTTATTTTTAGGATCATTAGGATTATTTGCACTGTGACATTCGTTTCATGAAAATAAAGTACATTGTCCACCAAATCCACATTACTATATAAGGCAAAATAAAATAAATAAATAAATAAATTACAAAAAAAAATAAATAAATAAATCTTTTTTTTCTCTGCTTTTGCAGTGTAATATGTATAGAAGCCCTTTTCTGCCACAGAATTAAAACAAATAAATAAAAGTTACTTTTTATCCTTTTCCTCACAATTGCAAGTTTATATTTCACAATTCTGTTTTTTTGTTTCAGAATTGCAGGTTTATATTTCACAGTTCTGAGTTTACATCTTGCAATTGTGAATCTATATCTTAAAATTCAGAATTGCAAGAAAAAGTCAGAATTTTGAGATAAAAGGACGCAATAACCTTTTTTTTTTTTTTTCTTGTGGCATAAACAGGCTTCCATAAATATGACCCAGACGCTTCTTCATGAGATTCACTGTTATATATTTGCAGTGATACACACAGTTTTAAAAGACTGATCACTTTTGAGGATGTTTTTATGGCTTTTGAGTCAGACATTGTGTACTTGTTTAACACTGGAACATTTAATACTTTCCATAAAAAACAAAACATTACAGTAGATTTAGATTGACATGCACTTTACACACGTTTGCATTCGCATCATTTTTATTGGGTATGTGACATAAAAGTGTTTAAATGCTGGATACTATGAGTTCATACAGACTCACTCTTTCTACAGAGTAGCTGCATATTTGACAGGGTGTCTGGTGGTAGTTTATCTCTATGGCAACAGCCTCCTTCAGTAAGATGACGTTAAATAAGAGACCTGCTCATACTTCCACAGAGACGTTCAGACATTTTTACATTAAGAGTTTAAATCGCTGTGGACAAAGTACACATTACCTGGAAATTGTGGGTCTTTACCATGCTCGCTGACGGATTTCAAACGCGGACTGGTGTTTCACATGGTGTGATGGAGATTATGTGCTATCTGATACCCCTTCCTGAAAAAAGGAACTTTTACATAAAATATTCCCAAAATCACTTTTTTTTTTTTTTCCCGTGGACATGCCACAAAACCAATTTTCAAATGATTTCCATGTGATTAAATGAGAACACACAAAGGGGTTGTTAATAAAAGTTTGAATGTTTGACATAACCTGCAAAAGTATCTTATAAAACCTATCAAAAGTTTTGGTCCTGGATTGATCAGTGCATCGTTCCAGTTGTGTTATATTGAAGCAATACCACACAATCAAGAGCTGTCACACCAAATATCAGCTGTCAATCAGCCGTGGGTAATGCTGATATCCAGACCAGACTGTGAGTGCGATATCTCTTGTATATCTGTGTATTTCTTGTATATTATATTGAGTAACATGCATTTTGTTCCTTAATGATTCTGTGTTTTCAAACTATTTGGTTGAGTGAGTGATTCAAATGTCTCATTCACCTGTTTCCTCCTGAATTTGAAGGAATCATTTGAATGAATGATTCAGACAGTGAATGATTCATAAAGTCAGTGCTTTTGGAAACAATTCTTAATTAATTTGAGCACTAGATCTTTTGTATAATCTCTCTCTCTCTCTCTCTCTCTCTCTCTTTAGAGTTTTTCTCAATACACATTGTTTCTAAGCAGCTTTACAGAAAATCATAATGTTTATAAATTAGGGGTGCTCCGATCAGGATTTTTGAGGCCGATCACCGATCACAGAAAGCAGTATCTGCCGATACCGATCACCGATACCGATCTTTTTAAAGCCTTCTTTTTATCATTTATAACTATATATAGTGATACTCCAATCAGGGTTTTTAGACATTTATTCAGGACCTGAATTTCATTTTTGAAAATGGGGGGAATTCCCATCTTAGGTGACTCTTTTGAGGGTGGAAGCAGCTTTCACACAGGAGTCAGTAGACTTTAATAATATGCATTTATGGTGTAATTGCTAAATTTTTGTGTCAATCCATGTTCATACTGAAAACAATGCGCTGGTACTTTAATTCAGCGCGTGCAGCACAGCAATAGACTCGGTGTGGAAGCGATCTCTGCTCTGCTGCAGACGCACTGCCGGACCGCAACCGTGTGCAGTGAACGCTTTAATCCGTTAAAGGTCCCATATTGTTAAAACTGAAATCTCAACTGTGCAGCATGCAGCTCGCTTATAGACAGACGCGATGTGGTGATTTGAAGCCATTTGTGTATTTTGAGAAAGAGAGAAAGAGAGAGAGCGCACTCAAGCTGTTTGTGAAGTTACGTCTCACACAAGGTTTTCAAATTACTTTATAAGTTATTTAATGAAGAAATATAGCATTATAATTATTTCACCCGCGCCGGACAGAGACTGAGACGGTGCCGCTGCATGTCGTGCCAAACCTCTCACGGCAGCATCATCAGCTTGAGATCAGTTTTTGAGATCGGCCTTTTTAGAGACCGCCGATCAATCATCCCAACGTGATTATCGGCCAATAGTGATCGGTAGCCGATCAATTGGAGCACCCCTATTTATAATATAGCTATACTTCATATGCTTCATGCCTTATAGTCGCATTTATGAGATTAAAGCTGTGCTATGATATAGTTTACATTTTGCAATAGTATAAACAATTATGTACTTGATACACACACACACACACACACATATATATATATATATATATATATATGTGTGTGTGTATATACTGTATATAAAGCTGGATATGCTTATATATTCAAGGTTATATACATAGAGCTGTGTGTGATAATATAGTTTACATTATGCATTGATATAAGCACACAATTGAGATTTGTTATAGCTGATATAGTTGATTTTGCTGTTTTCTATAGTATATAGTATATTGCCTTATGTGAGTATACTGTATATGTATGTATAATCTGCAGTGTCTAGCATCCTTGACCTGTCCACCATATCATGTTTACAGCATAGCTGACAGTATTTTTGTTTCATAGCAACTGTTAATGTTTGTATCATGTAGTAAGTGTTTTTAGAAAATCAATAAGGCACTTGAGGTGCTGTAATACTGTGAATATCGTCTCTGATCACGTAAACATCAGCAGCATCAGGGACAGAGTGATGTCACTACAATCAGAGACACAAACATCTTACAAACATGTTAGAAATCAGAATTTGTAAAGAAAGCGTTTCCGCCCGTCTAGTCTTAACATATTTAGTTGTCACTGGCGTTCACACGTGTGTTCATGTGCTGCTCCTCTGAATGCATCTTTCCAGATGTGTGTTGCCTTTTGAACTTTACGTCACAAGCACAACACAAACAAGCTTTGTGGAGCTTTTGCTGTGTGTGCGTGTGTGTGCGTGTGTGCGCGTGTGTGCGTGTGCATGTGTGTGTCTGTGTGTGTGTGTGTGTGTGTGTCTGTGTGTGTGTGTGTCTCTGTAGGTGGGCTCTGGTCCATATCAGGCCCACACTGGTCTCTGCTTGGTTTAAAGACACAGCGGGAGGAGCAGAGGTTACAGTGCTGATTTCGTGGAGAGAGGGGTTGCAGCAGAGGTTGGAGGGCAGAGTGCTCTGGAGTTGCTTGTTGCTAGTTTTAAGGCGCCCAGCGGACGGCCTGTTTCTCATTTCCTGTAAGATGTGCCGGAGGTGATGCTCTAATTTTCACTCTCTCCCTTCAGTTTTTCCCATTTAGTCTACATCTGTTCATGCTCAGTCTTAGTAGTCGGGTTTTGATTTGCGATTTCTTTGCATTCTATACTCTCACTAACAAATAATAAACTTTGTTTTCTTTCTTAGTTGAAGTAACATTGAGTATAATGTAAATACCATGGTGTATGGTATAGGGTAGCATTTTCTTCTGGTACCACCATAGTACTTTTGTAAAACCATACATCAATGGAAAGCTTATTTATTCAACTTTCAGATGACGTATCTTAATTCAAAATCTTAATTTTGAAAAATTGACCCTTATGACTGGTTTTGTGCTCCAGGGTCACATTTAATGGGAAGTGGAAGTTATTATTTCATTCACATTAAATGATTAAACAAGTCTGTTAATAAACAGGTGGTTTAAGGTGACTCGAGCATGATTAATTTTTACTGCTCAGAATCAAGTGATTCTTGAACACTCAGGACTGATTGAGCTGAAGAGGCTGCCAAAAGCTTGATTGATATCAGGAAGCAGAGCTTGTTCCTGCTCCTCAGCTGTAATCCAGTAACAGAGTGTGATGTTTGCACCATGGCATAGCATTCAATGTGGTAACCTGCAGTTGTAACCCTGTGTGTGTGTGTGTGTGTGTGAGTGCGTGTGTGAGTGCGTGCGTGTGTGTGTGTATGTGTGTGTGTGTGCGCGCGTGCGTGTGTTTTAACCGCTGGATTTACAAAAATCATTTACATTGCATCAACTACTGATGGACAGATACATTTTTATTTGAATTATCATTCATTCATTGGGTTAGTTAACCAATGTATTTGTTTTTGGAAGACTTTTGTCTTTCAAACACATTAAAAAGACATTATTTCTTATTTCCATGTAAAGCAGGGATTCCCTTTTTTTTGTCTTCATTTTTTTATGCCAAACCTCTTTCACCTAATATATTTACTTTAAGTACCCTGAGATTTTAAGGTAATAAATTAATTAATAATTTAGTAATAATAAAGTATCACACTGGTTAATGGTCACACGACATGCAGGTAAACAAATAATTTATATAAAAATAATTTATTTTAATTTTACATTTGATTTAATTAATAGCTTTTCATTAAACTAGCAAACAATTAAACTCACAAACCTAGTAATGCACGTCATGTTGTTAATAACAAAAAATGTCATATATGTTCTTTCTCTTTGCATTTTTATATCAATATGGTACAAGATTATCCTTTTTAAATCAATGTGATAAACTATTTAGGTCAAAAGTAATCTAAGAGTAATCAAAAGGTAGTCCGTTTATATTAGCTAAAATGTGTAATGTAATGGATTGCATTATAACTACTATTTTTGTCATGTAATTTGGAATCAGTAACAGTAAGTAATCTACCCAGCTCTGTGCATAGACAGTAACTTAGGGGTGTTTACACGATAATGTTTTCACCTAAAAATGGAAAACTTTTTATGCATTTGGCTGCTCTATACAAGTTTTAAAATGCAAGTTTTTGAAAACATATTGTGAACGTTTCTAAAAAACATAGTTCACAAATAAAATATGGACCCTTTTTGAGGTTTCACAACCGCAAAGTTTTAAATATGCATATAAAACTGCAAAGTATTAAATATGGTTAGATATGCAAGGATGATTAGCTAATTGGCTATACGGACTAATATAATTTTTGTAGGCTACAGTAAATAAATAAACAATGTTGAAAGTGAAAAAAGTGACGTGACATGTGGCCAAGTATGGTGACCCATACTCGGAATTAGTGCTCTGCATTTATCCCATCCAAAGTGCACACAGACAGCAGTGAACACACACACACCGTGAACACACACCCGGAGCAGTGGGCAGCCATTTTTTGCTGCGGCGCCCGGGGAGCAGTTGGGGGTTCGGTGCCTTGCTCAAGGACACCTCAGTCGTGGTATTGAAGGTGGGAGAGAGCGTGGTACATTCACTCCCCCCACCTACAATCCCTGCCGGTACGAGACTTGCAATTATCTTTTACTTATTTTTTTTAATGTCTGTATCCTCTAGTTCATAAAACAGTCTAGTGAAATATGTGTTGAGCTGTGTTTAGTACAAGCCTAAAGGAAGCCTGTTTAGCAGCAACATCTGTAACCTTTATGGCCCATTTGTTTGGTGTTTTAAGCACAACAGTCTTTATGATCATGACTGCAAACACAAAGCATGACAAGACTTTATCAGTGAAGATGAATATTGAATGATAAGGACCATCGATTACTAAGAGGGATTGTGTCCAAACAACACAGAACTACTGCGGGAAAGTGACAGCAAACCTTAATATCCACCTTCAAGACCTTTAAGATACTCGTACTCAGACTACAGTTACTTTTTTACTTTTTACACAATCGCAATATCTTTTAAAATCTTTTAAAATGTCCTTTCTAAAAGCCTAGCGCTTATATAAACTCAGAAAGTCTTCAGGTTTTGTGGAGATTCACACAGAGGTCAGTCATTAGTCAGGTGCTACACAGCATTTGAGCACTAGATTTACAAAAATCATTTCAACATTGCATCAACTACTGATGAACACATTCATTTTTATTTGAATTATCGGTTAATTTACCATGTATTCATTTGGAAAGCATTTGTCCTTCAAACACATTAAAATGCACAAATTCACACACTTTTTTGTCATTTGGTCCTCTTTCACCTAACGCATTTTTAGTTGAAGTACCCCTGAGATTTTAAAATAAATATTTTAACAATTTGCATGTTCATTGGTTATCTGACGTGGTCATGTGACATGCAGGTAAACAAATAAAATATTTCGTTTCACTTTGATTCATTTTAAAATTATTTGTTTTAATTTAAAATTTTTATGATTTAATTAATTATAAGCTTTTCATTCAACTCATAAACCCCCTGCAGTTCTTTCACAAACCCAGATTGGGAAACCTTGATGTATTATAATGGTTAATGCACTTCATGTTGTTGATAACAACAAACAATATATATTTTCTTACTCTTTGTATTTTATGTCAATATGGTACAATATTATCCTATTTAAATCAATGTGATAAACAAGTTTGGTCAAAAGTAATCTAAAAGTAGTCTCATTATCTTACCTAAAATGGATTACATTACTAACTACAATTTTTGTAATGCAATTTGGAATCAGTAACAGACAGAATGTGTATCTACTTGCATTAATGAGATTTCGGGAGAAATAGCACTTAATTGTCCTGAAAATAACGTCACAATCTTAATGGTCTTTAAAGGGTTAGTTCACCCAAAAATGAAAATTAGGCTGTGTTTTACTCACCCCCGAGGCATCCTAGGTGTATATGACTTTCTTCTTTCAGACGAATCCAGTCGTAGTTATATAAAAAATTGTCCTGGCTATTCCAAGCTCTATCATTGCAGTCAGCGGGTGTTGCATGCATCAGTCCAAAATAAGTTAAATAAAAAGTGCCCATCCATAAAAAAAGTGTCTCACACGGCTCCGGGGG